AATAATAATAATAATAATAATAATAACAGTAACAATAATAACGATAATAATGAATAAATAAATGAATGAATGAATAAATAAATAAGTGAATAAATGAATAAATGAATAAATAAGTAAACAAATGGATAAATAAATAAATAAACAAATAAATATAAATAAATAAATGAATGAACAAATAAATAAATAAATAGATGAGTGAATAAATAAATAAAAAAATAAATCCATAAGTAAATAAATAAATAATTAAGTTAATAGAGAAATAAGTATATAAGTAATAAAAATAAATTAAATGATGGTAACAAATGATAATGATGACGATAGTAATAATGGTAAGATAAAAAATGTGATAAGAAATATAAAAAGAAATGCAATATTAAATCATCACTAATGAAATACACGCACATATACATACACATACACATACACAAACACATACACAAACACATACACACACACACACATACACACATACACAATACATGCATACAGAATGGATTTTTGTTTTTTTTTCTCTCAATTAATGAAGAGAGTTACCTGAAAAGCATACCAGAAGCGCAGAAACAATCAACATTGTTAAGCTTTGAAGCAATACAATCCCTCTATCTCTCTCTCTCTCCCTCCCTCTCTTTCTCCTTCTTCCTCTCTCTCTCAAACTGATTGCTTATAGAAGAAGCGCAGCTATGAGAGGTTTCGGATCGGATAGCTTGGAAACAATGTTCAATTCCTTCTTCTTATTTCCATTTCTCTTCCTGTCTGCTTCATACTCTTTACTGCTGCATGAAAAGAAATTTTGTTTACAACTATATTATCTCGTTTCTTTTTCAGATGTTTACATTTCCAATTTTTTAATCTTTTAATTAAAATAATTAAAACCCTTATAACTTAAATTCTTAATTGAAATCATTAAAATGGAAATGGAAACAGCGAAAAAAAAGTACAAAGTAGATAGCATTGGTATGCAAAAAAAAAGCAATTTCCTTAAGATGTTTAAGGCATAATTTTTAATATAAACTCAAAATTTTCCGTTTTTTTTTCGTTTTCTTTAATTATACAATTTTTATCGCAATTGCTATTTAAATAATTCCAGAAATTTTATAGTAACTCAGTTTATTTAATTCATTCAAAAATTGATAAAATAATTCCGAAACAAATAATTTGAAATTGCATTAATTTCATGCAACTTTCTTATTGAATACATCATACATTTCGAAATTTCACTTACTGGCAATGTAATTTAATAATTACAGTCATATTTTTAATTCCAATTCCATATTTTATTTTCCTATTTAATTCCATGAAAGATACGGGATAAATTGACCGAGTAATAATCATCACATTTGGCAGCAATAATTTATTTGTTTACCAATCGCATATTATTTACTCATTTGCTAATTATATATTATCCACTAATTATTACTTTGGTGTACTTTTAAAAGGTCAACAAATAATATTTACTTACTATATTTATTACAAACATTTTATAAGGAAGAATTTTGCTATTATTTTCCCACAATTGCTATAATTTATTTATAAAAATGCATAAAATTGATTAAAATAACAATCGTTATAATGTTAAATTTAATACTGTTCAAATATTTATGGGATAAATTAGTTCATAGTATTTCTTTTATTTTATTTTGTCTCCATTTCATTACCGTACTTTTTCTATTCAGTAATTAATCCATCATCTTTACTAATTATTCTGGCATCATTTGCATCATGTTTTATTGCTATCATTTTATTTTATTATGATTGAAGACTGTTTTTCCTGAAGCTATAATTCTTGCAATAATTAATTTGTTATCTAAAATGATACTGGAATGAAATTAATATTCAATACATTGACATTCACTTGCGTTCTCACCAAAACAAATGATTTGCGCAAAAATTTAAATGAAAGGATGAGGTGGAAAACCAGTTCTTTCAAATTTCCTTTCCTAACACTAATCCACTCAATCAACTAATTTGCTAATTAACCATTTGTTTGTTTATAATTATTCATAGTTATTAGCTAATGACCAGCCCATTAATCGACTAATTAATTAATTAATTTGTATGTTCAAATCTTCCTTTAACGATTATTTTTTCAAAATTTCTGTCTAGCAAATTTTAATCGACAATTTTGATTACTTATCTTACATAATTATTAAAAGATGAAATATTTTTGCAAATGAATACAGTTTTTAAAAATACTCTAAAATTAGAGGGAAATAATAAATAAATAAATAAATAAATTGATCTAATAATTAATTAATCAATTGAAAAATCAAATGAATCACTCAATGAATCAATCAATGAGACAATCAGTAATGCTCAGTATTTATTTTGGATGATAATTTAATAAACATTCACATGATTTTTGTAAAAAAAAAAAAACAAGAAAATACAAAAATTTTATATGCCTAAGTCCAAGCTTAAACAATCAAAAGTCATACCATACCTCCAAATGCATCATACTTATATCATATTTCTTATTATATTATAGTTATTTTGTACTTCTGAATTCGATGCAGTTTGTCCAGTACCTCTGAGTATAGCATAATCATACCATACTTATAAATGAATTATAATTATCATACTGTTATATTGAACAGGTTTGTAAATTCATAACAATGATTACATAAGAAATCTTATGATTGACTCAATACTGTCATCAATGAATTATAAAATTCGGTGATTGTAAATATCAATACTTTAAAAAAAATCAGCAAACTTTTTTGATTAAAAGAATTTTACAAAAATTTTAGTAAATATTATTTCGACTGTCTTATTGCGTTTTATAGGACGTTAATCGTTGACAAAATATTTGCCGATATCTTCCTAAACATAAAATTTAAAATGAAGAGAACGTTAAGAAAATGAAAACATTGATAAGTAAAATGAAAAACTGATAAATGAGCGCAACAATATGCCTTCATTTATTTACTTGTTTATTTCATTTATTTGTTTATTCTTTCTCTTGTTTTTTTTTTTTCGCAATACCTGCATAATCTATCATCAAACTATATCAGTTGTTAGTATTAATACTTTCACAGACACTTTTATCTTCCCTTAAACTTATCAAGAAAGTTTTGAACTGGAATTGTTATTCTTATAAATAAAATGAATTTGAAAATGAATTCTTAATCTCAAAAAATATTTTCAGCAATTAGCATTAACATTATTAAATTGGTATTGTATTTTCATCATCACTGGCATATCAATAATAATCACTATCATTACCACTACTATTACTGTTATCATAATTGTAATACTAATAATAATTATTATTAAATATTGCATCAGTCGAAAATAACTGAAGTTATTTAATTTTTCAATCATAATGAGACAAAAACTTTGTGAAAGAAGGCGACAAACTAAACAATCAATGGAAAAATAAGGAAAACTGAGTAAGGTTTCGGAACGAAGCGAAAGGTTAGTAGGTCAGCAAGCGAAAGGTCAGCAGGTCAACAATATCACTCATGATAATATACATTGGAACTATACTGTCACGAGCAAAACACGAAGAAATTCCGTGATAAGAGAAAATATAAAGATTCATAAGGAATGTGTTAATGATGTACTAATTTGGAGGCCAAGATGTTGTAAACTCATATTACTAATCAAGTTTATGTGTAATGCCAGCATATTGTAAAGAATGTCTGATCAAATGTTGGCATACTGTAAAGGTCTCCAGGTCAACTTTGAGCTCAATCGATTCAAAGTTCTCTGATTGCTGTACATATATATATAGCAGAATAACATTTTCCCTTTTATTCTCCAGGTTAGTGTCTTTGGACTCTCTTGTGGCGACGTTTTTGAAGTTAGCTTTACGTGTTAATTTGTATTTTGTAATTCTCAATGATTATGCGACATTAATATTGTTTCTTTTATCTAATGGTTTAATTACCCAAGCTTGAGGTGGAAACAAAGAGAAATTTGCAACACTGTGATACGTTGCACAAAATACTTCAAGCATATAAAAAAATTTTTCACTTTGTAGTGCCACGAGCCAAGAAACTCAACCAACCGGACGAAGTCGTAGATTTGTGGCAAGTCAATTTGAAAATTCTAAAACTGAAGAAAAATATCCGGATCTTTGCATCGGTCCGCAGTACCGACCAAATCATTGAAATTCTGCCTACTAATACAAAAAAAAAAAGATCCTAGTTACGAAAAACTTCTCTACCGACTGCAATATACGATCGACCCATCACTTCCGCTGTGGGCAATTTGAAGGCAATAAATCAAAAATGGTTGGAATTAACTAAACAACTGCTTGATGATAAACATAAAAAGGAAGTACAAATATATAGCTGATGAACGTGGCTTCATTAATGTGAT